TGTTTTTGTAAGCATGATGTATTAGTGCCACAGCTTTTCTTCCACAGATTTGAATGTCTTGGTTGTCTGACGTAGCTTGTACCCCAGGACGTGGGTTGGTCACTGTCCTTGTCTGGTTTGCCCTTCTTTTGTTGTCCTTGGCAGCCATAAATGGCTTTTCTTGTGGTGCAGGCGAAGCTGGAGAGATGCTAGAGTGGAATAAGCAGCTTGGTCTTAAACTATAAGGGTCGAAACCTAAAATAACATATTTGTATCACTGCAATTTTTTCTTGTCCCGTTTTTATGATGCCTTTCTGCCATGGTGTAACACTGTGAAATTTTAGTAGTATATTAACAAGGCTTAGAATAAACTAGGAAGGGGAATATACAGAAAATCTGAGATTGAAAAAAAAATCCCAAAAACTTTGGAGTGCAGGCAGATGTTCTGCAGCAGATCATCTGGTGCAATTTCTGGCTTCTGGAGTCCTGCCCCCTCTTGTCCTGTGCTGATCACTACTTTTTAGACAGTTGAAAATATGTGGATTCTGAACTGACAGGAGACTAACTCAGTAACAACAACAAACAGAAGTGTTTTCTGCTGGATTAGCATGCAGAAGTGATTACACATGAAGGTACAGTAAGAGTCAAAAGTTGGAGGGGGGGGTGAAATTGAAGCAACCAGCTGTTAAGTTGTTGTTGGCTGCTGTGGATCTTCTGCCTCTGTTTTATGTATTCCACTCCATGAGGAGTTCTAATAAAAACATTCACTTGCCTCCAAAACAGTTTGGCTTGAAACAATCCATTGTAGGTTTTGGGGTGGGTTGTGTGGTTTGTTTTTCAGGGTTGCTAGCTTTGAATTAAGTGATTGCAAGAGATCTAATAACTTATAGTTTCTCCTTAGCTAGTTCAGTCACAGATTATTCTAAAGAATTTGCAGGCTTTTTTTTTGTTGTTCTTAATTATGTTGAGGTTTTCAAGTAACAACATGAAAAAAAACACTTTTAATAATGGTTTGCACAGCATCTGTTGGAAGGGGATGGTGTTTTAAGTCCAATTGTCCATTTTTTTCATGTACTGCAGAAACATGTAATTTTTCATATTTTTTCCTGTGCCTCTTTCAGCTGTGCAGGAGTGTGTAGATATGAAGGAAAGGGTGGAATGTGTTCCATTCGTCTGAGTGAGCCACTCCTAAAGTTAAGGCCAAGGAAGGATCTCGTTGAGGTATTTGAAAATTGCTTATGAATCTGCACAAAGAAATGTATTGCACCTCCCCTCCATACAAACATTTTACATTTCATAGTGGGCTTCTCATATACAATGACTTAGAGATCACAAGATAGTGGTAGCTTTATTATGTTTCTGTTGCAATATCCTGGTAATCTTAAAGTTTTATGTTTCTAAATGGGCAACTCTGTGTGGCAGTCTAAAGTAATTTGGTTTTGACTTTATAAAGGAAAAAAAAACTTTTTTACACCTAAATTATCCTCTAATAGTAAAATGAAACGTGGACTGGAGGCACAAACAGAAAATGGCTGTAATGTCAGCTTTTAAGTGAGAAGGCCAACAGCAAAAAATAAAATTTGGAATATGACAGTCAACCTAACTTCTTGCTGCTTGTGCATGTGTCAGGACTGCTACTTTTAATTGATTCAACGTTTGGATTTGCTTAATGAACAGAAATGCTGTATAGAGTTTCAGCTTTCTCACAAGTGTATTTTTTTTTGTCTTGTAGAGGGGACGATCTCTTTAAAGATCTGACTTAAGTTTAAGGATTACTTCTCCTTTTTGGGATGTCACTTCCTGTAGTAAGCTTCTCCAGCAAGTTTTGGTGATATGGGAATAAAGGCAGTTTGATTTGACAGGCAGAATAAGTGTTTACATTTTTATGACCCTGACTGAACATGTGAATGCATGAAAGTAAGATCGTTACAAAGATAAATGTAGAGCAGTAAAATACTTCCAGCTTAATGTTGAAACTGTATGTAATGTTCTTCAGTGAACGGCTAATGGTTTGCATTGTTTCAGACACTGTTGCATGAAATGATCCATGCCCTGCTTTTTGTTACTAATAATGACAAAGATCGTGAATCTCATGGGCCAGAGTTCTGCAAACACATGCGTCGCATTAATCGCCTGACTGGAGCCAATGTCACAGTAAGTGTAATGAATTTAATCTAATTTAACAGAGGTTTCTTCCTGATTTGTGTTTTCAGTATGCCTGGTGTGGTATGAGTAATACACTTGTTCTTGGTAAACACTTTGCAGTTGGTACAAATTTACATCCAAGTGTATGCCAGTTCCCAAGTGACTATGTTGGGGATGATGGTGGGAACAGGCTGAGGAAGATGTGGTGAGTTGTTAGTCATGTAATTTTCAAGGATAGTCTCTGGAAATATTTTTCTTTAAACTTTTGTTCTAAACTTCAAAAAAACCTTAATCATACCAGGGACAGAATGGCTCCATGATCAGAATAATATCTGGGGAAGAGAAATCTGTTTTAGTTAAGATTTATATCAGTAGAGGCTAATGGGTTGATGATACTTAGCTGATCTTCTCAGACACATTGTTAGGATGATAGCTGGAGAATTCAATACAGGTATTGTTTACAATCCATTCTAAAGAGTACATCATTTAGGGTGGCACTGGAGATAGATTTTCCAAGTTACTTTATTGTAGTTCAAACAAGATAGCCAGGACATATTCCTATGGGGTATTGTTTGTTTGTTTTTTTAAAGCTTTGTTTTAATGTTAGCTGAGCATTGATCAGATTTTACCCAGGTTCAACCTTTTAACTGGAAATACAAAAATCACAGCAGTAATGGAAGGAATGAATTGGTAATAATCTTTTAAATAATCTTTTAAGCATATTTTTTTTAAAAAAATATTGTAGAACTAGTGACATAAAATCAGCAGCTTTCTGAATGACTTGCCTTTTTTTTTTTTAAACCTAGATCTACCATAGTTTTCATGATGAGGTGGATTCGTACCGCCAGCACTGGTGGCGATGCAATGGCCCCTGTCAAAACAGAAAGCCTTATTTTGGGTATGTGAAACGTTCCATGAATAGAGCACCCTCTGCCCGAGACTTCTGGTGGGCTGAGCATCAAGAGACGTGTGGAGGCACATTCACAAAAGTGAAGGAACCAGAGAACTTCTCTAAGAAATCTAAGGAGAAAACTCAGCCAGCAAAACTTCCAAATTCTGAATCAACTAACAAAGGTATTTAAAATCTCTTTTTTTTTTCTTTTCCAGTCTGTTTTTGTCCCAGACAGTTCATTGAACAGATACGGATCAACCACTACAAGGCCTTTGTGTAGATATTATGTAACAAAGAACAGGGCCCATTTTATTTGTGCATTTCTGGGCTCCTTCTCAACTTCATTGTTTGCAAAAGGTTTCATTTGCCGTGCTGTTTTTTTAGCAGCATTTTTTTTTGGGTGAGGTACATAAAACACTAAGCCCATGATTTATACGTGAAAAAGTTACTCACTTTTCTTATTTTCTTCCCCTCTTATTTTGCAGGCAAGACACAAATGCGTGAAACGCAAGGTGTGGTACCCTTCAGTGGAAAAGGACATAGGCTTGGAGGAGGAGACAGCGGACTCTCAGAAAACAGCACAAATTCCAGCACCCGTGTTAGAAGCAGTGGAATGCCTGGTTCACAGCATCATTCAGCAAGGACAGTACCAATCCCTAAAAATGAGATAAAATTTGAAAAATCGCCCCGTAGTGGCATCTTCTTTCCACTTTATGATGATGCTGCTGTTGAGAAGATCAACTTAGCGTCAAAGCGTGAGTTTCCTAAACTCTCTGTTGCTAATACAAAAGCTTACAAGAATGTTAGTGGATCGCCTGTTAAAATTGCACGTGTCATGGAAGAAAAACCAAGCCAAGGTTCTGCAAAAGGCAAGAGAGTTATGCCACTCTGTAACAGGCCACCAAAGCAAATGTGTTTTGAGCAGACAGTAACAGCTCAGGTTGCATATGAGAAGAAAAGCTCTGAGTGGACTAACACGCTGGAGCAGTGGCCAAAAATGGAAGACAAAACTGCCTTTGAAAAGTATTTCATTAAAAAAGGGAGTGCTGATGTCACTTCAAGTATAAATACACCCATGAAAACCAAAGCTGAATCTACAGTGTCTTCTGCAAGTTCCAGCACTGCTGTAAGGCAGGATAAAAAAGTGAGTTGTCCTGTTTGCCAGACTGAGGTTTTGGAGTCTGAAATAAATGAACACCTTGATTCTTGTCTTGCATAAAACCTGTCAGAAAGCTGTGAGACAGAAAGATAAATAAGGACTGAACACATTGCTTGAAAACTACTTTGCTCAGGGTGTACTTAGATGTGGTTACTTCCCCATGTGCCTGTTCTGAACTGGAATTTAAATGACTGTCAGTGTGCTGAACAAGTTTTGTGGCATTGCTCATCAGCACTGACTGGGAAACGAGCTGCTACTTGTGTTCCAAAGAATCTAATGCTCAGGTTCTAGTATGTGGATGTTTGTGCCAAGGTTCTCACTGCAGAATCTGAGTAATACACGACGGGGTGAATACTAGCCAGACTTTGTACTTTCAGGGCAGTTGTCAAAATGAAGACACTTTAAAACCTGCTAATTAGTCTTTGCTCTTAAGACCCCTTTTTGGTTTTATTTGTTGTTTTTTTTTTTTTTTTTTTTTTTAAGTGGTTATGGTCACTCTTAACCACCTATAATAGATGAGAATTCTTCTGTTCAATGCAGTGTAATTAAGTGCTATGTATTTTTATAATATTAAATATTTGGCATAAGCAATAATTACACTCTTAGGTAGTCCTTCTCACCTGTGACCTTTTTGAAAAGAACTGAGAGTGAGAATCTCAAATACAGGCTTTTGTCAAAGATGGGAGAGGCATAGGCATCTAAACCATAGGAAAGCATCCATTTGAGTGTAAAAGGTAGGTTGTAGCAGGAAAAGAGAAAATCCAGAAGGGCGATGAAGGTGCTAGGAAATCAAGTACAAAGTACTTAGGGAGAAAGCCCTACACTTAAGGGCTTAATTTTTAAAAAAATTAAAAAATTGGCAGAGCTTGTTTTCAGAAAGTATTTTAAAATTAGCTATACTGTTAAAAGCTGGAGTGGTCAAATGGAAACTAATGAACTTCAGTCTCACATGTGTCTTTTGTTCAGGGATCCAAGCTAGATTGTCTACCTGCTTTTTCTGATGGTTTGTACAGACTGTTTAAAAAGTTCATTTTTTCTAGGATATAGGTGTTATGTGTGTAACTGACCTCCGTATCCTGACACTAACAAGTAAAGGTGGTGAGGAATATTGATGGCAATACTGGCAAGGACTCTTTCCTGGATGTGTCATAATAGCCTTCATGATTTGTCAGTTAAGTTTCAAGTGCATTACAGGTCAAAATGACATTAAATTGACATTAGCTGACAGTCTTTATTTTGCTTCTTTTGGAAGCCACCCAGCTTGGGGGTTCATATCTAGCAAAGCATTCAGTTGAGTACTAAAATCTACGTGCTGTTAGAAATTACAAATGCTGACCAGATGTGTTTTCTAGGTAAACTTCCTGCAGTGTTAAGTTCTCTTGCTGCACTGAAAAGCATTTAACTGGTTAAACTGTTAACGGCTTGATTCCTAACTTGTAAAACTGATTATAAATCTGTCATTAAACCCAGAAAAAATAACTGCTGTTTCATACATTGTTGCTGCACCTTTCAATGGCTGTATTAGCCATGGGTGCACATGCATTTGCCTTTATGTAACTGCTGCTCCCTTTTGGAACTGGGAAATAAAGGGATGTGCAATAGAGTTTAGCAAATGATACCTGAACTCTTTTTAAATATTGGTGTATTTTTTCTAATACTGATGCTACAGATGTTTAACGTTAGTTGGATTGTTCTTGCATATTTTGAATAAACTGTTATTGAATTATAAATTTTCACTAAGATTGGGTTTCACGTGGCTGTTGCGGCCATCTTTTGTCACTCACTGGTGTGCTCACCCAGATATCTAATAACAGCCTGGTTTAATAAATCCTTTCTGAGTTAACTTTTCCTTCTTAAATTTCCCAGTAAAAACGGGTGTTGGTGAATAGAGACTGCATCAACCTCTGCCACCTCCATCATATTTTTAGTACAGTTTCACTTCTGTTGCATTTTTGTGGAAAATTTTTACAGATATTGGTTCTAAAACTTTATTTGGCGTGTTAATTTTCTGTACTTCCTTCTTAAAGCTGTGATACCTCTCAGTGTTCCCGCTGAAACTTGACATTTACAGGACAATAATACTCAGAAATACCTGCGCTATCATAGATTTTTAAGATGAGGACTAGATTCACATCATGAATGGTCTATTACAACATGAGGCATTTTTTGAGAGATGTTTTCTGTGCTACTGTTATCATTGTTTTACTGGTTTGTCTTTCCCACTGCAAGTGATAACAGGAAAGAAGGGAGCATTATGGGTATTGTTAAATGGAGATTTTTTTCCTAATGTTGTCTTTTGAACAACAAATATAAAACAAATGTGGGAATTGACCTGTAGAATTCAGTGAATAGTATAGTCTGTAAGGGGAGGGGGGAAACTTAAGCTGTAGACAAGTCCTGTATCAAATATACAAATGTCTTAAAATAGATGTGTTTTCAGAACAACTGAGCAATTCTGGACCAGCTGCGGAAAAATATCACCTCTGCCCATGTATGTTTTTACAATGAAGTGCTATGATGCCGAGATCTCTTTTATAGAGAGATAAGGTGATAAAAGAGCTGGGTGGGTAGGCTTTGTAGTTGTTACCTGTTGCAGGCTGTTACTAACAGGTCAGGGCTGTGGTTTTTTGGGTATGCTGCTGTGAATGCTGCAAGATTTTGTTCTTGGATTACAGTGTCCTTCCAAAAACTATTAACAACGACTACCAGCATGTTTTTAAAATACACTGGTAAATTTGGGTCAAAGGTGAGAAATTTCATCTTCTGTATCAGTTGACTTTGTCCTGGGTGAGTTTAGGTACTGTCTATAGCAACACAAACCAGTAATGAGTCTTGAACAAACACGCTTCACTGAACTGCAAAATAAGTTGCCTGACTGGAAATCTGAGAACGAAGTTGATATACTTGATTTCTGAGACGAATTGGGTACAAGAGAGGTCAAACGTGTGTGTGTGCCATTTGTCAACAAATGGTTCTGCCAACTAAAGGCAAAAGCAATCTCGTTCTGCGGTGTTCTACTGGAATTGCTCAGAATGATTCAGGCGATAACGGTTCTGGAGGCTAAACTACCCAAGTGAGAGTTACTTGCCTATTTCATTACTATAATAAGAAGCTGCTCTTAGGTTGCCTTGGCGGGGGTTATCAGGCAAGGAATCCTGAAGGTCAGACATTTTCAAGTATTTTTTACTTTATGGAAATGTTATCTGGGAAGTTCTCTCAATATTTGATGAGTTCCGATGAAGAAGCGTGAAGTAAATTTTTCTCCAGACTAATAAAAATGAATTAGCAACTTGCAAGAAGATATGTAACAGTCTGCTTTATAACATTTGTTAAAAGTGGTAATGTGAATTCCTCTATACTTGACCAACTCCAGCGGTCCAGCCACTAATTTTTTTCACCTTGAATATCTAAGTTGCACGGGAAGTGCAACAAGTTCAGCAAGTTCAACCCTAATACCTCTGAGCTGATGAGCAGGCTATTTATGTCGAGATGGAAGTACCTAGCACCTCGGGTAGGCCAGGTGTTGCTACTCACACTGTGTAGGAATTAGTTACCTAAGTCTCCTTTCTAAGAATGTTTCTCAAGAGAATAGCTAAATCCTGTTCACTTGGAATAGCCTGTGCTACCTGTCACTGGGCCACTGTTAGTCATAAAAGTAATAATATTCTGCAAAATAAAAGACGAGGTTTGGTTGTAATTGGACAATTAGTGAATAATTCTTCAAATGCGAAGTAGCTGTTCAGGCTTCTCTTGCAGCAGTAGGATGGGCTATAGAGTGGAGGGCTTGTAAGGATTTTTTTCTTCCTCATGTGTCCTTCTGGAGTCCCATGGTTCTCCTGGATTTTCCATACACACTCAGCATCCCTATACATCCTTGAAGTAAAGCAAGTTACACTCTGCTGAAGGATAACAGCAAGAAGGAGCAAAATGCAAGTGTCTGAGAAGGCGAGATGGGTGTCTCTTCTGAAGTGGAGAACTGGAGCAGTTCAGGATGACAATGGGATGATGCAGACTGCTCTGGCTGCAGAATGTTAAGATGCTGCTGCTGCAGCTGTTTGCTCCATCAGTGCTGGATCTGGTCATCGAAATGGTGTCTGTGCATCAGCTGTTGCATTTTGCCACCTTAAATTGAAAGGCCACTAAGAGGTGGGCCTGGGTGAGCTCCTGAGGTGACATCTGACCTACGTTCCTCTATGAACACATGCTGGTTGCTGCCTGACACACACAGCAATGACAGCAGTGAAACAGCTGCTCTCTAGCAGCTGCTTCTTACCTGATAGCCTGCATGCGTGAATTCGACACTCCAAAAATACCCAAGTTCTTAATTGCATCTGGGTTATCACAGCTGTTCTGAAACCTTAAGCTTAAAGAAACAATGGTTTGCATATGACCATAACAACTCTGAATTAAATTACCCTTAAAGCGCAGTTTACGGGCAGACAGGCATTTCGGGGGTGTGTGAAAATGACACTGCTGTTTTCGTGTACCTGGAAAAACCCACCGAGACAGCAGGGTGTGTGGAGCCTTGGGATTCTCCAACAGGCCGTTAGGTGGCACTCCTTGCACTTAAGGAAGGAGTCCTTACACTGAAGGACTTAATTTCCAACCTGTACAGGGAAAGAACAGAAAGTGCAGAATTAGCAGGCTCGTATTTCACTTACGCCTGCACTCCACGCTGAAGATGGATCAGCAGGATCCCTGACTGGACCACAAACAAGTTAAAAGAGAAGGAGTGGGGGCGGGAGGAGGTTTGCAACCAGCTGAGAGAGGAGAAGTAAATTTACAGCTAGCTGGGTTTTCTGTCAGTGTTTCTTTCAGCTTTGCTGGAAAAGGCACTTGGAAGATGAGACAGTAGCTCCTTTTTGTAGTTCAGAGCTCAGTGAAAAACCCAAAAAGGATCCTCTTGTGGTCTATGCATACTGCACCACTTGGATCCACTGCAGTGAAAAATCTAATTTTCTGTCACCGTTTGGCATCAGCCCAGCTCCGCAGGAGAGGCAGGATGGAGTTGTTGGAAGTCAGAGAGGTTTATGAGACATAAAACTTAACTCCTGCACATT